CAATCCACTCACCTCAGCCTCCCAGAGGCGCGGGATTACAGGCTGAGCCACTGAGCCCGGCTTAACAAAATCTTTTAACGACCAAGGAAGAAAGTCAGTTAACAGATGAGGCAAGATCAAATCACTTTCATTGCTGCCACCAGCTTACTTTTCCTTTTAGTAAAACCAACAAAATAGTACAACCACGTGAAACCATTGTTTCTTTTTCTTTTTTTTTTTTTGCATTACAGTCACACTCTGTCACCCAGGATGGAGTGTAGGGGCACGCTCATGGCCACCACAGCCATGCTGGCGGGCTCGGGTGATCCTTTCGCCTAAAACTCCCAAGTAGCTGGAACTACAGGCATGTGCCACCACGTTCAGCTAATGTTTTTATTTACTGCAGAGACAAGGTCTCACCAAGTTGTCCAGGCTGGTCTTGAACCTGTGGGCTCAGGCAATCCTCTCACCTCAGCCTCCCAAAGTGCTAGGATTATAGGTGTGAGCCACCATGCCCAGCCAATTTCTAAATATTTAATAGAAAATGAGTTCACTGAATTTGGAAGTCATTTAGATACTGAGTATGTTAACTGGAATTGCTTTAAATGAAAAATAGGACATCTGTACTTACAAGCCTTACATATGATAAACTCTTATTAAATCCAAACACACATATTTCTTATTAAATTGTTTGGGTTACAATGCAATTGGGACAGATCATCTAATAAAAAACTAGAAAAATCCTTACATTTATTACATTAAATGTAAAATATCCAAGGCCGGGCTCAGTGGCTCAGCCTGTAATCCCAGCACTTTGGGAGGCCGAGGTGAGTGGATTACCTAAGCCCGCGGGGTCAAGACCCGCCTGGGCAACTTGACGAGCCCTCATCTCTACAACAAATCAAAAACTTAGCCGGGCGTGGTAGCGCATGCCTGTAGTTCCAGCTACTTGGAAGGCTGAGGCGGAAGGATCGCCGGAGCCCAGCAGGTCAAGGCTGCGGTGGCCGGGAGTGGCCACTGCACTCCAGTATGGGCGACAGAGTGAGACTCCAACTCAAAAATAAATAAATAAAAAACAAAAAATAAAAATTTAAAAATTTAAAAAATATAAAATATCCAAATTATCAGTGTTTCCTGATTGGTATAAAAAATAAAATATGCAAATGTTTATAAAGCAAGATCACACAGATGTTTTTAAAATCATGCACGGAAGACAAACTGGAAAAAATGTTTATATGTAATAGCAGAGAAGGGATAAGAAATAAGAACACCTACAAATGGAAAACATCAATAACGTAAGAGAAAACTGGACAAAGGATATGTAATGAACATAGAGTTGAAAAAAAGGACAAGTTTCTCCTAAACATATTAAACAATTTTCAGCATCACGAATAATAAGAGAAATACAAATTAAAACTATACTGCGATTCTATTTTAACCTATCAGACTAAAGAGATAAAAATGATCACACACTATGTTGATGAGCCTCTGGGAGAAGAGACACCATCTACACTGGTGATAAAGCATAAATTGTCCCACCTCTCTAAAAAACCTAAGCTGCTAATAATTAGCAAATTACAAATGTACAGCTCTTTTGACCAAGCAAATTATCATTCAGGAATTACTTATATTTATGTACACACACACACACAAACATACACAAACTGATATATGTATAAAGTCTATACTGTAGAACAGTTTTTACAGCAAAAGATTAGGGAAAAAAGCCAAATGTCAGCCGGGCTCGGTGGCTCAGCCTGTAATCCCGTGCCTTTGGGAGGCTGAGGTGAGTGGATTGCCTGAGCCCACGGGTTCGAGACCCGCCTGGGCAGGCGAGACCTCATCTCTACAATAAAATCAAAAAATTAGCCAGGCATGATAGTGCGCGCCTGTAATTCCGGCTGCTCAGAAGGCTGAGGCAGAAGGATCGCCAGAGCCCAGCAGGTCGAGGCTGCAGTGGCAGGGAGCGGCCACTGCACTCCAGTCTGGGCGACAGAGTGAGACTCCAACTCAAAAAAAAAAAAAAAAAAGCCAAATGTCTATCAAGAGAAGATTGATTAAATAAACTATGAGGCCAGGTGTGGTGGCTCATACCTGTAATCCCAGCATTTTAAGAGGCTGCAGCAGAAGGATTGCTTGAGCCCAAAAGTTCGAGACCATTCTGGGCAACATAGTGAGACCTTATCTTTACAAAAAAACCACAAGTGAGCTGGGCATGATAGCATACCTGTAGTCCCAGCTACTGGAGAGGCTGAAATGATAGGATCACCTAAGCCCAGGAAGTGGAGGCTGCAGTGAGTCATGCACTCCAGCCTAGACAAGAGTGAGATCCAGACTTAAAAATAAATAAATAACCAAAGGTACACTCATTCAGTGTAATATTATGCAGTTCTAAAGAAAGTGAATCAAAATTAGGAAGCTCTATAAATGGATATGGGACAATTTCCAAGACATACTGTTAAGCGAAAAGTTTCAAAACTAGATTTATGTTACCATCTATGCTTTAGAAAAAAGAAAGAAAGAAAACCAGGTGCCATGGTTCATACCTGTAATCCCAACACTCTGGGAGGCAGAGGCAGGAGGACTGCCTGAGCCCAGTAGTTCAAGACTAGACTGGGCAACTTAGCGAGACCTCATCTCTACAAAAAAAAAAAAAAAAATCAAAAGAATTAGCTGGGCATAGTGATGTGCACCAACAGACTCAGCTACTCAGGATGCTGATGCAAAGGATCAGCCCAAGAGGTCGAGGCTGCAGTGAGACCTGATCGTGCCACTGCACTCCAGCCTGGATGACAGAGTGAGATTCCAACTCCAAAAAAACAGAAAGGACATATACATATTTGCTTGAATTACTAATTATACTGTTGCTTCAAGAAAGGGAAACTAGGTAGTCTGGGAATAGTGGTGGAAGAAAGATTTTTCAACTTTTAATTTTTGATCCATGAGAACACATTGCCTATTCAAAATCAATAAAATGCAGGTATAAACTGTACCCTAGAAAATAAAAAATACACTGAAAGGAAATAAACAAAATGTCAGCAATAGAAATTAGATGTCTCAGGAAATTAGAAGACATGTGTTTCGTGTTAACTTTTCTGCCATTTTCCTTTCCATGATTTATGAGCAAAACCAAATTAAGTAGAGCAACATACACTAATAAACTATAGTCAAGTACTAGTTTCAAAAATCCAATTTTTTGTTTCTATAAACTAGTAAGTAAATCATATCTCTTTAAAACAGAAATTTCCAACACATTGCCAGTAACCAAAATAAATCTCAAACACATGCAACACAACATTTAACAAAATGTATTTGAGGCCAACTACAACCTGCAGGTCATATTTAGCCCACTGACTACTTTTAGAGTCTAGTAAGGTAGGAATGGCTTCTACACTTTTAAGGGATTATAAAAACAAAAAAAGAGAGGATTGTGTGACAGACATCCTATATAGTCCACAAAGCCTAAAATATTTACTATCTGGTCTTATACAGAAAGTGTTTCCCAACCTCTGCATTAGAATAAAATAATGTAAACAGTAACTTATAGTCATTATGAGAAGATTTCAAACTACAGTTCCGGTAGATTAGCGATTTGCTTTTTGAGGTAAATTAATGCTTTAACTTACTTTGCTTTATTAAAATCTCTTAATAATTTAAAAATCATAAACAAGCCGGGCTCGGTGGCTCAGCCTGTAATCTCACCTAGGGAGGCTGAGGTGAGTGAACTGTGTGAGCTCGCAGGTTCGAGACCCGCCTGGGCAACTTGGCGACACCTCATCTCCACAATAAATCAAAAAAATTAGCCAGGCATGGTACTGCGCCTGTAGTTTCAACTACTTGAAGGCTGAGGCGGAAGGATCGCAAGAGTCCAGCAGGTAGAGGCTGCGGTGGCCAGGAGCAGCCACTGCACTCCAGTCTGGGTGACAGAGTGAGACTCCAACTCAAAAAAAATAAAAAATAAAAATCACAAACAAAAAGTTAAGGATCAAAACCCCCAAAAAAATCATATTATGAGCTTAACTTACTTCTGGAATTGGTCTTAATATATTTCAGTGCAACATATCTTGCAAAATGATACATCAGATGAATAAACTTAGGACCACCAGGAGAAAGAAATAGTGAACCAACAACTTGAGGAAAGATTTCACATTCAGCCTGTGGAGAAAATAAATAAGATTATTTGAAGACCTTATCAACAATAACTTACATTTATGTCACTTTTTTTGAAGGGGACAACAGTCTTGCAGTGGAAGCTCTGCATGTCTGTGAGCACCTCACTATAGGGTGGCAGCAACTTGCCACTACCTCTCCATAGCAGGAAACATGTTCAATTCTGCTGCAGAGTGGGAAGCAGTTGTAGGAGGTAAGGCCTTGGCCAGCCGCTAGCTCCCCATGGCTGCCTCCTCATATCATACTATTATTTTCAAAGCATAAAACAATTGATCAGGATTATTCCATCTGAGTCATACATTGTTTTTGGTTTTTCTAAATTCTAGGTGGACTTGGTCACAAAAAAACAGTAATATAGCCCCAATTATCAACACTATTTGGGGAAACAAGCTAAAGTAATCTATGGTCCAAGTTTTCTTTCAATAAAAACTAGGACATAAACGCCCAGGAACTCTTAATCTGATATCCAGTATCCCTGGCCCACAAAGCTGGTTTCTTAGAATGACCTAGAATCCCAACCAAAAAGCAACAAAAAATACTACTATAGGCCACGTGCAGTGGCTCACACCTGTAACCCCATGTGGCCGTGAGGGTGCCACTGCCCTCCAGCCTGGGTGACAGAATGAGACTCCAACACAAAAAACAAAAAATTAAAATTTTAAAATTTTAAAAAAGCAGGCGCAGTGGATGACACCTGTAATCCCAGTACTTTAGGAGGCAGAAGGGAGAGGACTGCCTGAGCTCAGCGGTTTGAGACCAGTCTGGGCAATTTGGCAAGACCTCGTGCCTACAATAAATCAAAAAATTAGCCAGTTGTGGTGGCATGCAGCTGTAGTTCCAGCTACTTGGAAGGCGGAGGTAGAAGGATTGCCTGAGCCTAGCAGGTCAGTGCTGGGATGGCCATGAGCCTGCCACTGCACTCCAGCCTGGATGACAGTGAGAATCTGACTCAAAAAAATAATTAGCTAAAATTTTTGCCTGAGCCCACGGGTTCAAGACTTGTCTGGGAAACTTGGCGAGACTTCATCTCTACAATACATCAAAAATCAGCCGGGCGTGGTAGCACGCGCCTGTAGTTCCAGCTACTTGGAAGGCTGAGGCAGAAGGATCGCCAGAGACCAGCAGGTCAAGGCTGCGGTGGCCGGGAACGGTCACTGCACTCCAGTCTGGGCGACGGAGTGAGACTCCAACTAAAAAAAAAAAAAAATTTTTTTTAATAATAATTAGGCCGGCCTCAGTGGCTCAGCCTGTAAACCCACACTTTGGGAGCCCGCAGGTTGAAGACCCGCCTGGGCAACTTGGCAAGACCTCATCTCTACAATAAAACAAAAAATTAGCCGGGCATGGTAGCGCACGCCTGTAGTTCCAGCTACTCAGAAAGCTGAGGCGGAAGGATTGCCGGAGCCCAGCAGGTCGAGGCTGCAGTGGCTGGGAGCGGCCACTGCACTCCAGTCTGGGCGACAGAGTGAGACTCCAACTCAAAAATAATAATAATAATAATAATAATTAGCCTGGCATGGTGGTACATGTCTATAATCCCAGCAACTAGGGGGGCTGCCTGAAGCAGAAGGATCTCCTGAGCCCAGTTATCAAGGCTGTGGTAAGTCATGATCGTGCCACTACACTACAGCCTGTCTCTGTCTCTCTCTCTCTCTCTCTCTCTCTCTCTCTCTCTCTCTCTCTCTCTCTCTCACACTCACATTCTCACACACACACACACACGCACACGCACACGCGCACAAACACATACACACAAGTATTTAAAATAGTTCACTCCAACTGGGCACAGTGGCTCAGCCTGTAATCCTGCACTTAGGGAGGCTGAGGTGAGTGGATTGCATTAGCCCACGGGTTCATGACCCGCATGGGCAACTTGGCGAGACCTCATCTCTACAATAAATCAAAAATTAGCCAGGCGTGGTATCACGCACCTGTAGTTTCAGCTACTTGGAAGGCTGAGGCAGAAGGATCGCTGGAGCCCAGCAGGTCGAG